AGGAGCAGGGGGAGGCAGAGGAGTGGAGGAGGAGAGCACGGCAGCAGGGGAGCAGAGGCCGCATACCAGGCTGTATCCTGTGGAGATAAGCAGAGCCCTGAAGTCATCGGAGTCCATGCTGCCTGTCTGTTTCTGCTCGAGGACGCAGGGACAGCAGAGGAGGCCAGACCCAGAGTAGGCAAGAGGGGCCGCCCCATGTGCACAGCGGGAAACAGGACAGTGGCGGAGAGCGGGGGAAACAGGCGGCCCCGAGAGACCAGGTAAGGGGGACGGTGTCCAGAGACACAGGGCAGGGAGGAGGCAGGAGAGCGGGTGAAATGGCACACGCAATGACAAGGGGCGGCACGGCGAGAGGAGGGGAGACAGAGAGGAGAGAGAGAGAGAAAGAGCAGTTAATGCCACGGTCGGCGGGCGTGGGTGCGTACCTGCCGGTCATTCTCCACATCGTAGCCCAGGCTGATGAGGCAGGCCTTGAACTCCTCCGGCCCCAGCGCCCCGCCGTGGTCCTGCCGGGTGGGCGTCCGTGGAGACCAGGCCCCGCAGAGAGGTGGGGAGAGGGGCCAGGGTCCCGTGCAGAGGGCAGGGGGAGGGGAACACATGGGGGAGGAAACACACAGTTAGAGGGGACAAGGATGAGGTGACGGCCAGGGCAGGGAGGGACAGTGGAGGGCCGTGGGTGGCCTGGCGGGCAGTCAGAGGCCCCTGGGCCAGAGCAGGGGCAGGAGCTGAGGTGCAGGACTGAGGACTGAGTCCCAGGACTCGTGAGAGAGTGGGAGCTCTCCTTGCCCCAGGATTTGGGGTGGAAGAAAAGGGACCGCACCCCATCCCGCGTGGGATGTCGGGGTCCCCGCCTGACAGTGCAGAGCTGAGGGCACCCGGCCCAGCAGGGTAGGAGGGGGAGGGGCAAACACAGGTGCTCAGGGCCCTTCGAAAGGGAATGCCAGGCGGAATCTGCACGTTAACACCCCCGTGTGTGTGTGTGTGTGTGCGCGTGTGTGTGTGTGTGTGCGTGCATGCACATCCCAGAAGCCCAGCTGGGTCCTGGATCTCAGCCGTGCTGGAACTTAGTTCACTGGTAGGTTGGCAAGGTTTTGCCCCAGAGCCGGGGCTTGGGACCTCCTCTCCTGCCTCGAGGGAAGCCGAGGCTGGGGGTCCAGGTCACGTGCCTCTGCGCCCCGTCAGTGGCTGAGGCCCTGCCAGGCCCTGTGAGTGGCGGCTGATACTCAGCAACTGTGATGTGAACAGACGGACAGATGCAAAGACGACGGAGGGGGCGGGATGGGATGGTGAGAGCAGGGAGAAGGGAGACCCGGGGGCGGCAGGAGCGGCCCACCTTGTCGAAGTGGTTGAAGGAGGCGCGGAACTCCTGCATCTGCTCCTGGCTGATGCCCTTGGCGTCGCGGGTGAGGATCTGGTTCTCGACCTCGTTGATGGTGCGCGCGATGGTGGTGAGCAGCTGTTCCCAGCCCACACGGATGTGCTGGGGAGGGGCAAGGCTGTGACTGGGGAGCTGGGACCATGGCGCCCCCTCGCAGCAGGATGTGGCCTGGAGTCGGACCCACCCCGACTCTCTCCCCAGCCCCAGTCCAGCTCCTGCTCTCTGGGCCTCATCTGCACACAGCAACAGGCGTGGCGCCTCCCTGTGGCCTCTGCCAACCAGCAGGGTCCACGTCACGTTGGTTTATGTCCCAGCAGAGCAGGGCCAGGGCCCAATACCTATGCCAGGATCCACTGGGAACCTTAGCAGAGGTATGCTGGGCAACGTCTAACTGGCTTTCTACGGGGGAAAACCTATTTGTTTTGTGGTATCTGTGGATGTGCATGGTGTAAATATGGTCCTGGTGGACAATTTCAAGCTACCCCAAGGATGGCAACCAGCCCGACACTTTGACCCCGCAGCGAGCTGTGCCCACGGACTCCGGCACACGCTGGCGGATCTGTGTCCTCAAGCGAGGACGAAACTGCTGAGGCCACAGCGGGGGCAGATGCTGCCCTCCCAGCTCTCCCGGGAGCCTGTCCTGAGCCACACGTTGTCATGGTGATGGGAGAGCGGTGGTGGGAAAACTGTGCTTTTCTGAAATGTGTGGACGTTCAATCTAGTCTCTTTGCCGTCAGAGTAAAAGAGGAGACAGAGGAAGTGGCAGATAGCTCTTCTACTGGCCCCAACGATTTGGCACACGGAGGCCCGGCCTGGGCGGCGGGCGGTGGGCGTACCTCCATGGTGTAGTTGGTGTGCTTGTTGTCGAAGATGAGGGCCTCCTGGATGAGCTGGTGCTGCTGCTCGAGCAGGTCCAGGTTGGGCTTGTAGTCCACGATGCTGCGCTCGTACTGCTTCAGGTGGCTCAGCTGGTCCTCCAGGGTCCCGTTCATCTCGATGGAAATGCGCCCGATCTCCTGCAGAGAAGGCGCTGCGCTGGGGGCAGGCTGGCGGGCCCCCGGCCACCCCCAGCCACCTGGGGAAGGTCTCTCTGTCGCTGGCTGCCCCACAGCCAGGGGGGCCTCCAGCCTGGGGCCTTTGCCCAGGGGTCCCCTCTCCTGGAAGGCCTGCAGCTCGCTGGCTGTCCCCCCAGTCCTGTCATCTAGAGTAAAGCAGCCAGGATGGAGCGTTTCTGTGCCAAGTATAATGCGCCCAACCTCACTGCACCCTCGACTCCCTGTGA